TCAAGATTGCCATTTAGAAAAGCAGTCTTGAAGTCCACTTTACGGCCAGTCAAGTCACAAATTGCCATTAGGCTGCAGATGAGGCGCAGCGTTTTGAGGTGGAGTGTTGGAGAGAATATTTCATCATAGTTGAGGCCATGTATTTGAGAATATCCCATAGCAACCAGTCTAGCATTGAGCTTCTGAATTGAATGGTCAGGAAGACATTTGATCTTGAAAACCCATTTCGACTTGATAATTTTTCGTTTTTGAGGACAAGGAACTAGACGCCATGTGTTCATTCCAAGGAGTGAGGCAAATTCATCGTTGGCAGCCTTGAGCCATTGTTGTTTGTTGGGGGATTTGAGCAACTGTCTCCAAGGTTTTGGTGTGTCCAAATCTTCCGCAGCCGTGATGTGTTTGGCCCAGTTACCATATTGGTCAGGAGCCCTCCTCTCACGGCCTGAGCGTCGGCGTGATGAAGAGGGATGTCAGCCTCTGGGTAACTAACCTGAGTATTTAATAGTAAAAAGGTTGTTACTATGAGTTGACTGAAGTTTTTGAGCGTGGTGAGTGTTAGGTAGTGGGTGATTAATACCAGTCCTGTAAAGAGGAGGTTTCACTCTATCAGTATAGTCTTTACGGAGAGGCTTGCTATCAACAGCCCATCCGGATCAATACAAGGTATTAATAGGCATCCAGGGTACTAAGACTCACCTGGGATTGATTTGGTTATTCCCCAAAGGGAATGGGCTAACAATACTTATTAAGCTTTAACAAAATTAGTTGAAGATTAACAGGTATTGTTGATGGGAATATTCAGCAAGGCTATGAATACTGTGGATAAGTTGAGTAAGAGTACTGAAGCTTAAGAACAATAAATGTAGACAAGATTTTTGTTGGTTACGTGTACTGTATCAATATAAATGTTAACTGGTTTAACTGGTGTCTGAATATTCTGGGGATTAATCAGTGAAAGAGGCACGGATTATAAGTTCCAGAATATTGAAGGAGGGAAGGAATGAGCGCTCAGAATCAAGGGAGCTTTGGCCAGGAGAGTGAGCACATCAATTGAGTGACTGATCATTATTTTTCATGATCTTTAAGTGACATCATAATGGTGTACTAGTTGATCAATGTACTAGTTGCTCTTGATGTGTGTACTTAACAGATCCTCTAATAATGTAGTCATAATTGTGATCAGTGCATGTATTGAATGTATTAATTCTATTGACACTTAATACTTATTATTTAATACATGTACATATTTATTTTTAATAATATTTGACCGTGAAAATACTGTAGAAGAGGGATAACTTGTGGTACAGGTATTTCACGGACAAAGGAGTGAAAGGTAGGTGATAATTACTTATGTAGAACTTGGTTACGTGTACTGTATCAATATAAATGTTAACTGGTTTAACTGGTGTCTGAATATTCTGGGGATTAATCAGTGAAAGAGGCACGGATTATAAGTTCCAGAATATTGAAGGAGGGAAGGAATGAGCGCTCAGAATCAAGGGAGCTTTGCCAGGAGAGTGAGCACATCAATTGAGTGACTGATCATTATTTTTCATGATCTTTAAGTGACATCATAATGGTGTACTAGTTGATCAATGTACTAGTTGCTCTTGATGTGTGTACTTAACAGATCCTCTAATAATGTAGTCATAATTGTGATCAGTGCATGTATTGAATGTATTAATTCTATTGACACTTAATACTTATTATTTAATACATGTACATATTTATTTTTAATAATATTTGACCGTGAAAATACTGTAGAAGAGGGATAACTTGTGGTACAGGTATTTCACGGACAAAGGAGTGAAAGGTAGGTGATAATTACTTATGTAGAACACGGGTATGTATTCAATAGATAAGTAATTAACAGATAAGATAAATGTAAGATAAATAATATAAGTTAATGATAATGATAAGATAACAAGAGGTAAAGGTAATCAACATTATGGACAAGTACTTATGTACAGTCTCCTCCCAGATGTTTATAGCCATCTGTTTTGAGCTCCACACCGGGAACCCAAACATTTCAAGTCACAAGAATTTGTGGAATGGTGGAAAACGGGTCTCAAAGAATGAATATGAAAAAATAATAACAAAACATAAGATTTTAAAATTTGTAAAAAGTAAAAAGTAGAAAATCACAAAAACTGACAGCCTCAATTTTTCTTTCAGGAAAAGATGAAATGTCCAAAGTGATAGTATGAGATCTGGAATGAATGATAAAAAGTGAAAATTTGAAAAAAAAAAATGACTACTTGGCGGTTTAAAAAGGGTGCCTAGGGGGTCATTCATCAAGAAATGTGGCATTCTGGTACTGCAATCTACTGATTTTGACTGCAGGGTGTCCACCCACCATGCTGAAACCTTTTTTGGATCAATATTTTTCATTTATAATCATTCTTTTCATGTTCCAAACTTGCCCTCTGTGTGTTCACTTTTCACTCAAAGTTTTCAAAAAAAGTTGATTTTCTTTTATCTTTTTCACAAATTTTAAAATCTTATTTATTATTATTATTTTTTCATATTCATTCTTTGAAACCCATTTTCCACCATTCCACAAACTTTTGTGACTTGAAGTTTTTGGGTTCCCTCTGTGGAGCTCAAAAAAGATGGCTATAAACATCTGGGAGGAGACTGTACATAAGTACAGGTGTTGCAGTTACTTGGTACATAAAAGGTACTGTGACATGTACTCTGTGGCTGACAAGGGAGGAGTCTGAGCCTGAATAGGTGCTGTGGAGCCAGAACCATCACTAGAGGGCGCCGGGAGAGATTGTACAGGGGGAGGCGAGGGAGGCAGAGGTGGAAGATTGATTGTGACAGTCAGTAGAAGCAATGACAATGACTTGGAGGGATCATTTCCTGGAGCATGAATTGAGGCAGTCAGGTGTCGGGCAAAACGGGGTTGCAGGGGAATATTCAGTGGGGGAAGTTCCGGCGTTTGTGGTGACACAATTGGAGGAGGTGTAGTGACGGTTGGGTTCAAAACTGGACTTGACTGAGTTGCGTCGGTAGGGTTTGGCTGGCTTCTGTTATGATTCATGGTGATGGGCCATGGTAGTTCTACCATGATTGGAGACGAGGGTGTTGACAGTGGGGAACCATAGGGAAAGATTGAGTCAATGAAGGTGACATCCCGAGATTTGACAACTGAACGTTTTTCCAGGTCCCATACGCGGTAGCCATTTCCATTGGAAAGGTAGAATAGTAGGATTGAAGCCCGTCCTCTCTTTTCAAGTTTAAGGCAGTTGTCCTCAGGTATTTTGTAGTAAGTGAGACAGCCAAATGGGTGTAGAGATTTGATTTCAATTGGTGGTATTCCCAGTATGGAGCCAGGTGGTCTGAATCCCATTGGGGTGTTACACGGTATATGGTTGTGAACATGGAATGCGTGGCAAAGAGCATCAACCCAGAAGGATTTGGGAAGATGAGCACTGAGAAGAGAAGAGCGGACCAGATTGCTTATTGTCCGATTGGTTCTTTGTGCCACTCCATTCAGCTGAGGTGAGTGAGGTGGACCGGGTTCATGACGGATGCCTGCAGCTTGAAGATAATTCTCAAATTCCTTAGACATGTATTCGCCTCCGTTGTCAGTCCGTAGGGACTTAATCTCATGATTGTTGATCTTTTCAAAGGAGGCTCGGAAAATTTTGAAGCATGAGAAAGATTCGGATTTAAATTTAATTGGAAAGAGAAACACAGCCTTGGAACAGTCATCTATGAAATAGATGAAATACTTATAGCCTTCCCTGGACTGCACTTCATATGACCCAACATCTGAGTGGATAACCTCTCCGGGTGTGGTGGATCTGTACATTGAGCGGGATTTGAATGGGCATTGATGGAGCTTGGATTGAAGACATATCGAGCAATTTTGAACGTCTATTTTGTTCGATACAGATGGTGTGATGCCGTTTAGATTCAGTAGCTGTTTCAAAGGCTTGAGGCCTATATGTGAGAACCTCCAATGATACCCAAGAAGACTGTTGTCAACTGATGCTGATTTGACAGAATGAGATTGGATTGGGGAAAGAGATGTAGACGGGGAGCTCACAGGCTCTGAGGGTAGGTAGTATAGATTACCTCTCCTATAACCCCTCCCAACAATCTTGCCTGACGGGTGGAAATCCGGCGTAGGGTAGATGTCGCAGGATTGTTTGGTGAAAACTACAGTTAGGCCGGCGTCACAGAGGCCAGCAATTGAGAGTAAGGGTTCGGCTAGAGCTGGAACTACCAATGTGGTGACAGTGGCATCAGTGTCGAGCGGTAATTTTGATACACCATTGTGGGTGGCTTCAACAAGAGAATGATTGGCTAGATGGACTGGGGTACTGTTGGCCTTAGCGTGTGAAATTGCAGACAGATCTGGTGTCATTGACACAGAGCAGCCTGAGTCTAGATTCACATCGCCTGAAGGGTTCGAGAAGACTGTTGAAGAAAGGGATACCGCCGCTTGACCAGCTGTTACCTCTAGCTCAGAGCCAGAGAAGTCGGACTCGTCGTTTTATTCCTCCGCTCCTCCGAGGGTGGCAGCAAAGGTTCTGCATGCCTTGGCAGGGGGTTGATGAGAAAACTGACTTTTTGTGGAGGAGCGGGTCAACAAGGCTTGCTTGTCAGTCTTATCACCAGTCGACTTGTGCAAGTGGATCATACACGCGACATGACCGCAGTTGTTGAGGTCATGACCGTCCATATCGCAATAGGTGCAGTGGCGAGGTTTGTTGCCAGCCAAGTTGCCTTTACGTTTTGAGTTGGGGTACCACTATGAAAAAATCTCATGTAACTGGTAGCAGTTGACATGCTGGAACTCTTCTGAAACATGCATTGTAACTCAAATGTTACTCATGAGTTACTTGAGCCAAACTTTGATGCACAGTGACTGTGCATTCTGCACAGTAACTGTGCAGAAAAAATAATTCTGGAATAACTCTCAGTAATAACCAAGTTAAGGTGTAAGTAACCCACATGTCAACTGCTGCCAGTTGCATGAGATTTTTTCACAGTGGGTTGGCTTTTGTCGCCAAGGCAGATTCAAGAAGAGAGGGATCTTTGCATCTTGTTTTACGACAAAGTTCCTCAGCTTTGAGCGCGTCAATCAATTTGATGGGACTGACGCATGGCTCATTCATCATTGATGAGACGCACGACAACCAATCTTGAGGAAGAGACGTTAGAATGGAAGCCGAGTATATGTCCTCCGGTGTGAGAGGCGATTTGGTTGTGATGAGAGCATTGAGACATTCATAGGTCTTGGCCATCTTGTCTAGATGGGATGAAAGATTGTCGGTCACCATTCGTGACATTGTTAGCTTGCGGAGCCAGTACATAACTCCGCCGGCCAAAGAGTCTTGGTGGGCTTGTTTCAGAGCATCCCACAACCTGCAAGCGTCAGTCTTCAAGTGACGGACGTTCCGGATGTTGATTGGATGAATTGTTCTGGAGATAACACCGCATACGGCTTTGTTGTCTCTCTCCCAGTTTGGTTTGAGTTTAGCCTTCGCCAGATCTTTGGTGATGATGTAGTCTACGTTGGTCGCCATGAAATGTATCTCCAGAATCCATCTCCAGTCAAGATAGGTTGACTCGGAGCCTGGTGGTTTAAGCTGCTCCACCCCCGTCAGTTTGAGGGTTGGATGTCTTGAAACCTCGAAATCGGCAGTCAATGACATTTTTGACTCTGACAGTGACGGTTTGGCAATTGAGGCAGACGGTGACGGTTTGAGGAGAGGCGGTAGTGACGGAAACAAGTCAAGCAAAGCGGATGAGGCAACAAGTTTGGGGGTTGTTGTGATGTTGTATTCTGGTTTGATGTACGGAGAAGGGGGTGAAGTCATATAAAATTTAAGTCGCTTTGTCGGTAAGCGTACGGATCCTTATGGTCCCTCAAGTCCCAGTTATATGAAAAGAAGTGCGCGAGTGCGTGGTCAGAACACGATGGTGCTCATAACCTGTTGAGGTGATACTGAGACATACAGTGAGGTTGTGGAAGGATGAGGAAAGAGAAGCCTTCCACACTTTCACTCATGTCTCAGGTAAACTACAGTACTAGTGACATGTGAGTGAAATGTATGTAGCACATGACTGAGAAACAGAATAGAGCACTGTGAAATCCAACAATCCCCACTTCTTCAATCCGTCATGCAAAGTATTGACCCACTGAAGTGGTCCAGGTGAAATAAATTTAATGTCTGAGAATTCACGATGCCAAGCAGCCAATGAGAGCGAAGCTATATTGACAATGTATCGATTGTTGTCCGAGTTTTTTAAGTCTAGCGTCTTCTTTTTACTTTTGTGTCGTTCAACAAATCCATTCCCAGTTTCTGTTAATTCACATCCACCATTGTGGCAGTTGTAGAGATTGTTTGTCCGTACTTTTTGCAGGTACCTGGTACCTCCTGGAGGGTACCCCTCGCACCCGCCCCGCACCCGCCAGGAGGTGCCAGGTGCGGTGCTTGGTACCTATTTTTGTGAAAAATTGAACAGGTACCTGGGTACCTCTACAGGTACCCCCTCACTTCCCTACCAAAAATCAAAATAATGGTAGCCTTCTACTTCAAGAACTCCAAGATCCAAGAAGTTACCTTGGCTGAATGGACACAGGGACTCACAGATAGCAAGAAGTCCAAGAAAAAAATCAAAAAGGAAGGTGATGGTTTTGCATGACAATGAAGATTCTTCCAATTAGTTATAAGTTGTAGATAGTTTAAACTTTGCAGTAAATTATTAAATATGAACAAATGAAAAAAGTGACTTGGGACTGATGTTTTACAATAAATATGAAAAAAAACAAAAAGTAAGATTCTTCCAATTAGATGTAGATATATTATGGGGTAGAAAATATAGGAAATCTACCATGAGAAACCAGTCACTTTTCCCAACCTTTTTTTTGCATCAATGGGCCCCAAAAGGGGTTAAATAAAGAATTAACATGTTTAGAAAAGGTTGGATTTTTCCAAACCAGTCAATTAAATAATGGTGGATTTGGTTATATTTGATACCCCCTATTACAACAGATATTAAAAAATGCCAAAAAAGTGACTTGTGAGTAATATTTTACAATAAATATGAAAAAACAATAATAATAATCAATTGACTTGGGACTCTGGGAGTGAAACTAGATGAAAAAGAGAGGGGGGGGGGGGTACCTGAGGTACATGCAACAGGTACCTTGGGTACCCCCCAGGAGGTGTCTGGTGCGGTACATGGTATCTATTTTCTTGAAAAAATGAACAGGTAGGTATAAACAGGTACCTAGGTCCGAAAGAACAATCTCTAGGCAGTTGTGCTGGACATTCAGACCAGCTTTGACATTCTATGAAAAGAAAAAAAAGCCAACAATTTGATATCACACTGCCAAAATGATTGTATCAGATTGCTAAATCTGGAATTACATTAGATAAAAACATCTGATATTACATCAGGAAAGACTGGGATTGTATCTACCAGAATTGATATTATATCTACCTAAAATGATATTGTGTCTATCATGAAAGATATTAAATCAGACCAACCTATTCAATTTCAACATAACTGAATTCATATCAGATTTTTCCATCTAATGTAATGCCCATGGGCTAAAAATTTGTATCAGATATAAAAATCAGATATAAAATCAGTTCTGTTGATATTAAATAGGTTGGGCTGATGCAATATCTCTTGAGATAGATATAACATAATTTTGGTTAGATATAATATCACTCCTGATAGATATAATACCAGTTTTGCCTGATGTAAAATCGGATTTTTCATCTGATGTAATGCCAGATGTGGGAATCTGATACAATCACATTTGCAGTGTCAAAATAAGATCAAGCAATAAATGAATGAAATTATCTTACTTGTGAGTTGACAAAGGTGGATTGAGGTGTTCTGTGGATCTTCCTCATTCTGTAGAAACTATCTTCATCCATTTTTTGAAACAAGTCTGTGTGGATAAAATAAGCACTTTTGTGGGATGGCTTCTGCACCTGCCAGATGGATTTGATTGATCCAATATGTTCATAATCTTGAGGTTGGCTGACATTGAACTACAAAAAAAATTTGAGATGTGATTTAATGCCAGAAGGAGAAATTTTAATTGTGACAACAAAAGAGAATGGATAAATACCAAAATGAAATAGTTGTTCTTGAGAACTTGCTTTTCATCCAAGCTCAATTTGGATATTTGTTGAATATTGTGGCCAGGATAAGAATTCTTCAGGTCTTCTGGAGTAGGGATTTGTTCATCTTGGGGGACTGAAAGTTTCTTAACAAAAGGATGGGTAATTTTCTGAGGAGAAGATAAAGAATTATTAAAGCCCAAAGTTTGCTGGATTAAGAGGTTATTTTGAAATATATTTGTGACTTGGCTGGAAGATTGCACAAATTTATTTTGTTTTTTTTCAAAGAAGAAACCACCAGAGATAATTTGAGAAAACACATGGTAATTGCAGAATGTAATAGCTATATCTTGACCAGGACTTTGGCAATTGGAGTGAATTGAAGCATTTCAAAGAATACCATTATAACTTTCAAATTTTTCTGCTGCAAAAAGACATGCAGGACCAAATTGAAGGATGGAATCTGGAAGATGAAGTAACATGTGGAATTTGGGCTTATTAACCCATTGGGCAGAAGCTTGAATCATGTGATTTAAAAATATATCAATATGATTTTTCAAATCAGAAATATATTCTGTCATGTCTTCAATATGAGTTTGAAATATTAAAGAGCCCAGGAGACAGAGTGACGACCAGATATCAATCTCAGATGGGGTCATGAATTGGAAGAAGACAAAGGGAGCTGCTTGAAGAATTATTCTGAAATATTTGCCAACTAAACTTGAAGAATATTGAACCAAACGGATGGGTCTAACAGAAGGGATATTGAGAGAATTGGTGTTGAAAGAAGTCCATAAGGTTGTGAGATCATCCTTTTGTGTTTGGTCTAATCCCTTCATGAAATCTCTAAATAAATACTTGACGGCACCAAGTAAAAAAACATGCAAGACTTCAACCGGAGCATCTTTGACCATGTCAAAACCTAAGACCAAAAAGCAGAGGAAAGAAAAATTTCAGTTAAAAAATTGATAGAAAACCCTGAATGAAAGAAATAGCCAAAAGAAAAAACCTTTCAGCTCAAAGTAAGGATTAAACATTCTTTTAGGTTCCTTATCTTCTATATCAACCAATTCCTGAGGAACGTCTTGATCCATATCAGATGATAATTCTTCTCCAGCTTCAAGTAACTGAGTTTTTTTGCATCAAATTTGAATAATTGTTTGGCAAACTTTCGATTAATTTGATCCCGTACAACCAAATCAGCAGATTTCTTGTCTAGTTTATCCAGATTAACAGTTTCCTTGGCATGCGTCCACAGCTTTTTGGAGTTTTCTTTGGGTTTTTCCATGGTTCACAGTTGATTTGGGCACTATTTCAGAAAACAAAGCAAGATTTAAAAAACGTCAAAAAAAGACATTGATGAAGAAAATCAATACATTTGATCCATGCAAGTTTTTCTGGGTGAATTGGCAAACATATGGAAGCTTCTTTCTGGCTTTCAAGCTGGACAAACTCAAATCACAGCATTGGCAAGGGTTGAGAGAATTTCCAGGAACTGGTGTGTTGGTAATCTCAGCGTGCATTGGAGAATCAGCCAGAAAACATAAGACACTAGTCATGACATGAACTTCTTGACAGATGGTGCTATCATATGATGTGAAGCCATTGATAGCCATGTCACTAAATCACAAAGAAAAAAATCAAAAAATCAAGATAATGATAAAAATCACCCTGGTGCATTCTAAAATGAAAAGACCCACTTTATCTGTTCAACAACCATATCTCCCAATTCCAAAGCACCAGTGATGTTTGATGTGCAAAGAAAATGGCAATTGGCTTGCTGACTGTAAATTTTAGGTGGTAAGCCGGAGAGTGTAAAGTAATAAGAGATGTGTTTATTCCATTTCTTAGATTTATTTCCAGGTGTGTCGTCACAGTATAATGTGATGGGAACATTTTGTAGAATTTTTCCATCTTCTTTCTTCCTCCAAGGATTTGGTAGGATGATGTTTGAATTCCATCCGCCAGAATCATTAATTTCTTTTTTTGATAAAAAACAAGTATCAAAAACCAACATTAACATGCATGAATGTGTAACTTCTTTGTTAAAGATTTCTTGAACTCACCACTAATCTTTCCTCCACAACATTCTGATAACATGAAACCATCCTTCATCTTAATTTCCCCATATGTCAGTTCAAATTCTTCAACAGGAATTGTTTCCAAGTTTTCATCATCAAATGAAATTTCATCAGAAATTCCAATTTCAACTGTAGCATGTTCTTTGTTGGATCTGAAAGTTGGGGTAAAACACTTTGCAAAAAGGTGGTTTTGCTGAGAAAGGAAGAAGATTGGGACAGTAATTTTAGAAGACTTCAATTGAACTGGTTCAAACATGTAGAAGTATTTTTTGTTTGATTCTACCATTTGAACTCAAAGGTCACTAGCTTGATGTTTCAGCCATTTTGTTGACTGAGAAAGCTTGTAGATATTTTTGCTGGGCGCGTCCTCCAGAACAAAATCCATGTGTGGCGCAACCAGAGAGTTCATTAAATCCTAAACAACAACAACAACCACCACCCATACAATTCAGCTTGGTTCCCCAAGAAGAAAATCATTAGGTGAGTACTTACATTCTTAATCAAATCACTGGCCTTCAATCCAAAAACATGCTGACCAAAAATGGTTTCTTTCTCGATGACAGTCTGATTTACTAGCAAACGGATTTGAGCTTGCATCATTTGTTAGGCTTCCCAGCGGGGAAGATTGATGGAGTTTAGAGTAAAGACAACCCGTATTTGATGGTACGAGTAACGCAAGATCAGCTTGTGTAAGTATCCAACAAGCAGGGAACCCATCAGGTACTGTAGAAACCAATAATTTGTAAGTCACTTCCGTTTTCTTTTTCCTCTTATTTAATCGATTTCCGGTTTAATTTATTCTTACTCACTTCTTTACTCAGAAACGGATACCAGGCTGAGTTGTCAGGTGACACTTTTTTTATCTTTTCCTCTTCACGGCAAAATAGAGGGCTCAAATCGGCTAGAGTGTCCATTGGCGGCTCCAAATTGATCTGACCAACGGCTACACCAACCAAATCCATACAAGTTGTCTTGGCCTCCTTGTCATCTACAGATTCCTCAACCTCAAACGTTCCCGGAACAATTTCGTCGATCTCTTCGTCTGTCAATTTTTCATCATCGGCTTCTGAGTTTGCCCCACTAGGATCTTGATTGCAATCAATCACCGGCTCAAGCTGACTGATATCTTCATCAACAATCATCCTTTTGCCATTTGAAGCCTCAGCCGCCACCCTAAGAGCATCCTCTTCAACATTTTGCTTGTTATTCAGTTTGGCTAGACGTTGATGTCGTGAGTTTTTACAGTGTCTATTTTGGTCATTTGTTGTCCTTCCTTTACATAGCCAACACTCATATCTTCTCCCCTGTGTAGTATTTTGTTGTGAAAAATCTTCAAGTGAGAAAGTGAGTCTCTCTGGCGTCAAATTTATATCCAGAACTAAGTCGGGTCATGAAAGCTTACACTTGTAATTTGTCTCCATGTTTCAACCAAGTATAGCACCTTCCAATAACTTCCTTGATTTCTATTTCTGATTGACACGTTTTTTCCACTCGTTAATAAATATTGCATTGGAATTGAATTCTTGACAAGTCAGAGGATCAAACTGAAGGAAGAGGTCTGTCTTAAACTCTTTTTATTGATTTATCTTGGACCGTTGTCCTTTAATGTTTTCACACTTTTTTCAGTTTCAGATTTGCTTTAAAAACTGATTGAAATTCCTTCCATCTCCCAAATTTCTCTCTCCTCAACCTTATCAATCACCCAGTTTTTTGTTAAATTCAACTAATCATAAGTTTTTCTTTTGATTCTTCTCTCCAATCAAAGCGTCCTCCCTCCCTTCCAATCAAAGATTCCTCCCTCCCTTCTGATCATGTTAAACTTGAACAATCTCATTCAAGGAGATCTTGAAGATTCTACCACTCAAATTCAGGCAGGTGATGATGATCACTACGATTCATCCTCCGAAGAGCATGATAGTCCGTCTTCCACCCATATGTAAATCACTGATCCCAACAACATGTTTGCCGCTTTACCCTCTCACAATGTCAACATGACCAATCAACCCTCTTCCTCTGATCCTAACCCAAACATCAAGCAAATTTGCTCTGATCTACAATCCAGATTGAAGCTCAATCCCGAGCATTTGGAGATTGCTCTTATCAGAAGCAAGGTAAGTTGATCATCTATATTTTCACTTCATTATGTCATTCTGCACTTGGAATTCATCTCATCTCTTTGCAATATATCTTTGATAATTGTGACTTTATTTCTGCTTCCTTCTCACAAGGCTACTCCTGAAGCAAGACACGCAAGCTTGGTCTTTACAAATGGTGTGTATCACCAAATCAACTATCAAGACAACGGTTCACAAAAATTGGGCTTTGCATATGGCAGCACTTTCAGAGTAAGCATTTTGAGCCCATCAATCTCTTGTCTATCAGGTTGCTTATCAATCATTTGCATCTATCTGCTACATATCACTTCACCATCAGGACTTTGTAAGAGCTAGTGCTCGGATGTTCTTACTCAAGCCAACCCTTGAGGCATACTCAAACAATCCACACCAAAACGGCGAAATACCCAAAACGCTATTCTACCTGAAACTTGTAAGCTGCTCTTGTTTATCTGTGATTTCAATTTGTCTAACATCTCTTTCAATCTTTAGGATGCTGTTGAAAAACAGCCTGATGGGTGGAAGACCAATCACCTTCCAACCACCGGACTTCGGGACAATCCAGACATCCTTAACCACAATTGCGAGGTCATTGGCGACCTTTTAAAATACCAACTCAGTAATTTGCGTACACTGGTGTGTTATTCCTCTGCATGTTTTTTTTTTTTTTTTTTTTTTTTTTTTTTTTTTTTTCAATTGATACTGATTCTTCTTTTATAGCTCCTAGCAGACATCCTTGTGACCAAGAAGAAGCCTGTGGTTGATGTAATTCCTGATCGTGGGCAGATGTTGACCTTGGTAAGTGTTTGGCTAATTGCCAACTTCTATCAATATCCTTACCTTTCACTTGTCCTTTCTAGATTTATGAAGAGCTCCCACCCAAATCATCAAAGCTCAACGAGTCAGAAATTAAACATCAAGTCTGTTTTAACTTTGCAATGCGAGCTTGAATGTGCTATGCCCATCTGGTCATGGTGCATTACTACGTTCACAGGTCTAAGAAAGAATCTCAGTGGGTCAAAATTGACAAGCGATTGGGTATTCTCCAAGGCTCATCTTTTGATTTTCAAAGGAAGTAAGTCTTATGTACACACTTTCCCTTCCACATACAACATACACTAATTGCCACAATCGCTGCTTGTTCCCAGACATGCAGATCTTGTCTTGGAAAAAGACGCAGCACTCTTCTCACACAAGAAGAAGTTCTGTGATCTTTTGCACACAGACCTCACCGTTCCTACCCTTGAAGATGTCCAAAACGTGATTGCTACTGCTCACTCTCCAGGTTTGGATGAATAGCCAATCCTATCACCCGATGCCACCAAAAGAACCAACCGAGTTGTCTTTTTTTACAATAAACTATGAAAATTTAAAGTTGTACTTTTCTTTATATTCATCTACTCAGTCGGGTTTCCTGGAAAGGAATCCTACCGGGTCACATGCCCACCAGAGATAAATGCAGTATTGGATTCCTCATTCAGGCGGTTTACAGACAAAAAAAAACCACCGGATCGTTCTCTCATTTTTTTTGCCTCGGTTTTCACCTAGATCCAGTCGGTTTTCCCAAGATGAAAAACCAACCAATTCTTTTTTTTTGCCACTTGCATTCTTGCCTGACGTCTGGCCAACGGCAAACTCTTCCGTTGGCCATTGACCGGAAGCCATCGGAGGTAGTCTCACGTGCGGCACTGAGGATACACCCAACCTAAGCCTGGCGTTGGGAAGATTTGCCAACGGCGGGCGCTCACGTAATCCCGGCATTGGCAGCTCGCCAACCGCGGGCCCTGACGTAATGTCCGTGTGGGAGGGTTGGGCCAACGGCGGCTCCCAACACCTCCCGCATAGAAACACACCAGCCGATTAGGGCGGGGTCGACAGGGTTGGTTCGACGTTGGCCCCTGGTTGCAACTAACCTGTGGTGTACCAGTCCTGTAATGAGGAGGTTTCACTCTATCAGTATGGTCTTTACTGAGAGGCTTGCTATCAACAGCGCATCCGGATCAACACTTGGTATTAATAGGCATCCAGGGTACTAAGACTCACCTGGGATTGATTTGGTCATTCCCAAAAGGGAATGGGCTAACAATACTTATTAAGCTTTAACAAAATTAGTTGAAGATTAATAGGTATTGTTAATGGGAATATTCAGCAAGGCTATGAATATTGTGGATAAGTTGAGTAAGTTTTTACTGAAGCTTAAGAACAGTAAATGTAGACTAGATTTATGTTGGTTACGTGTGCTGTATCAATATAAATGTTAACTGGTTTAACTGGTGTCTGAATATTCTGGGGATTAATCAGTGGAAGTGGCACGGATCATAAGTTCCAGAGTATTACATGAGGAAAGGAAGAAGTGCGCTGAATCATGGGTGAAAGTACCAAGAGGAAGAGCAGGTTTAATTGAGTAACTGATCTTTATTTGTAATGATCTGTTAGAGCTGTCATAGTATTTACTAGAGGATCAGTAAGTAGTATTTGTGACGTGTACAGCTAACAGATCCTTCAAATAAAATAACAAATAAGGATCAGTGCATGTATTGATTGCATTGATTCAATTGTTAAACAATAATATGCAAACAATACATGTAAATTTTTATTTGTAATGATTCTTGTCCATGATGACTTTGGGGACAAGGATAATTAATGATGAAGTCATTATTAATAACAGTACATGTATTGATTGTATTCATTCAATAATTAATTGATATTTAACATTCAGAGCATGTACATATTTATTTATAAAGATATTTGTCCGTTAAAATACTGTAGAACAGGGATAACTTGTGGTACAGGTATTTCACAGATAAAGGAGTGAAAGGTAAGTGATAATTACTTATGTATGAAACAAGTATGTATTAAATAGATAAGTAATTAACAGATAAGATAAATATAAGACAAATAAGATAAGATAACAAGAGGTAAAGGTGAACAACATTATGGATATGCACTTATGTAAATAAGTACAGGTGTTGCAGTTACTTGGTACATGTACTCTGTGGCTGACAAGTACAAAGAGACTGTGTAGCGCTTAAAGGGAAACTGTAGTACTCAGGCCAAGGGCATCAGCAAGTGGGTCTTGAGTACTTGGCTGTGATATTTAGGGGCTTGGAAAAACGACTCCTAAATTTTAGACTACAACTCCTGTTTTGGTTGAGGGGTCATTGGCGGGAGTCGTTCTTCCAATTGCCAAAAAAAAAACAAAGGGAGTTGTTGCACTAAGTTTGCTGAAGATTTTTGATTTTTTTTTTTTTCACTTTCAACACTACCTCATATCCAGTACTGGATATGGAGTAAAAAAACTGGATATTCAGTTTTTTTTTTTTAAAAAATGGTGTGAAGAGGTGAACAAAAAAAATATAAAAATACTACATATCCAGGTTTATTTTACTGCACATCCAGTGCGGGATATGAAGTTATGTTTTGAGTGAATTTATTCAATAATTTGGGAGTCGTCCACCAAAAAACCGGGAGTTGGCGCCCTAATTCAACCAAAAAAATTTACTATTTTTTCATATTAAAAAGGTCAGGAGTTGTCCGACTAAAAACAGGATTCATTGCCATATAGCAACCCTAGAGTCATAAAAAAATTGAGCCACTGAGGCCACACCCCAAAGGCACTTTATCAATGATAAAAATTATATTCATTGAAAAAAACAATAGGGAGAGATAAAAGAAATGATAAACGGGCAAAAAACATTCAAAATTTATCAGAAATGTAAGAGGAAAAACAGGGTAAAAAAGGACACAGAGGAAAAAATCAAAAACTAAAAAAGACACAGGAAAAAAAAACCCCTAGTAGTGGGTCATTGGATTTTCAATCTTCCTCGCTACATTCAAGTGGAAACAATCAGATGATTGGGCTTCCAATCCCCAAGCCTCTTCTGATGCCTTTTCTTTTCAATCCTTCATGAGCTGAGGGGCTGGAAAGAGTCTTGGGCTATGTAACTGCAAGGGGACCAAATGAGAAAAATCATATAGAAAAGCAATAAAAATTGGGGGGGGGGCAGAAAGAAGGAAGAAAGGTCTGGCAAAAAGTGTCAGAAAAAAAGCAAACAGGCCTCTCAAAGGCATTTGCCATTTCCTCACCGGTCAAAGGCATGGACATCCAATGAGCCTTTGTACAAGAAAGCCCCCTCAATTTTGTGGAACACTTTTTGATACCACTCAGGTCAACAAACAATTTCATTGTGAATCTTGTGTCAAACCGCCATATAATCACCCTGCCCACAGTGAATTGCGTAAGCCACAGCCCAGAATCCGCAGTGACCATCTGATTGAACATCCACAATATCCCTGACTTCAGGTTGAATAATTTTTGGTAAGTACCTAACATCATCAAAATCGGACGGGGGGATCGGTAGATGGGGGTTATATGGAGGAGTGGTAGTGTTTGGGTACAAGGGCACGGTGTGGAACTCCTATCGTACCAGGCGGTAGGCAGTTGGTTGAAGGGAAAGTGCTTTGAGGGCTGCCTTCAAGTGGGATCTGATTGAGTGAGCTGTGATCTGAACAAAAAGCGTTGGGGTTGGCTGGTTTTCTGAGAGGAGACAACAGAAGTGGAGTTCTGTGGCGATTGTTGAGTCTGAGTGATCTTGAGGATGTGTATGAGGATCAGAAGTATGAATGATAAGAAGATCAATAAGATTTGATGGGTCTATCTTGGATCAGATCAGAGTGCCATGCTTCCCCATCATCTCAGTTCAAACTGAACTTTGACTCTGGGGAGTGACATGTCACAGACATGTCATCACATCCCTAACTAAAACACAACTCAACCAAAAAAGACAAACAAGACCACACAACACAACACAACACAACACACACAACAGAACAAGACAAAACAGAACAGAACAAAACAAAACAAAACAAAACAAAACAAAGGTGATATTGTTGAAATCTTGAGGCTTGAGGATATTGAAAAGTTGAAAGTTGGAATTTGAAATTTGACCTTGAGGGGGACTGTACCGTTTAGAACACCACAACGGAGGTGTCGGCAGAGGAATTGACCTTGAGCTTCTTCTTTTTGGCTTGAAAGGGGGGGGGGAGGGAGGGGAGGATTGAGGAACAGTGTAAGGACTGATAATGTCCTTCACTAGATGAGCAGGGAAACGGCACGGGGGACAGGCAAGTGAGCCTAAACATTTCTAAGACCAAACACAGGGAGCTTAATATCCCAATCTGCATACAAACTGACTTTGCAATTATCCATGCAGGGTGTTCACCCGGTGTTTCATGTTTCAGTACTACGGAAGCACAACCCTGACACCATCACTGAAAGGCACCACCCACCACCGGAGCACGTACAGGTCAACAACAAGGAGGAATGGGAAGTAGAAGGTGTGCTGGACTGTTGGAGAAGAGGAAAGAAGGTTGAATACTTGGTCAGCTGGAAAGGCTTTGGACCGGAGGAGAACTTGTGGGAACCTGAGGTCAACTTGGAAAACTGTCAATAACTGGTCGCCAATGTGGTAGCTGAATGTGTAAAAATCAACACATCAACAATTACATATCTCAAACTATACATATGCACATTGCAGGACAACTACACTCCCTCACCAGCATAGTACATGAGTATACACACCACTTCACTATCTTCTGACATATTGTCACATGCAGTGTTAGTGTAGTACCACCCTGGATTTAAAAGTGACATCATGCAGGTTGTCATGTCATTTGTTGTTCTTCCTTGCAGCTGTCAGACTATCTCACACCACTCATGTAATCTTCATCACTCCGTCTTAGTTTTAGACTGGTACAATCACCTCATGTAGCATGCTACACCAGCATAAAACTCTCATGTAGACTTCTAGTTCAAGCTAAAATAACTCTTATGACATCATGTAGGTTGCTCAACCAGCCAAAATACCTCATGTACATGTTCTGACTAGCTAAATCCCCTCATTGTAAAGCTCTGGCCAGCTAAAATCTCTCATTCTCTTGCTACCTTGGAGCCAAAATTCCTCACCTTTGTGTATTTAATAGGCTCTCCTCTCAGTTTTTTTCCCCTCAGTTTAGTACCCACAAATCACATACCCCCTACCATTACATACCATCCCATTAACATTACATACTATAACAACCCTTACAAACACCCTATAACAACCCTTACACTTGTAATACACACTAAGCTCACTCTCATACTCTCAAAACCTCTTCTCTCATACAATTATATTGTGATCAAACAACTTATTCTTGAACCAAACACCCCTATCACTTGATTAAAACTTGCCAAGCTGAGCTTGGTGGGTCTTGTTATCTGATAGTACAGAAGAGCAGAGCTTGCAACTCCACCATACCCT